GCAGGCCATGTCTCAATTGCAAAAGGTAGTCTCGCTCATGACTTTTAGGCCCCTATGATCCACACTCAGACATGATTTTTCAAAGTGTTATAGTAACACATACAGACTAGAACTGACAAAAGCTACCAAGAGCAACCATTGGGATTTGGGACAAGAAAATTTCTGGATGCCATGGTATAATGTAGAACATTTTTTAAAAATTAGCTGTTGTGGGGCATTGCAGAAGAAGAGTGAAGGACTTAAAATAATCCTGAAATATGAAATACCCATAATGTTTTGGCTGATGTCAGAGAAACACTAACAAGGAAGGCAATGTCCAGGAGAGTTCCCTATAAAATGGAAATGGTTTGTACAGGAACACATGACCAACAGAATTCAGAGGTACACATTACGCTCAGAAGCAGGTACCCTCTTTTCCCCTAAGGCTGACTTTGGAACACCTAAGAAGAAGCTGGATCCTATGACCACATGGGTGCTATGCTATGAACAGCTCTCTAATAACAAAGCGTTGCTTGGGTTATGGACAGCAGGACCAAGGTGAATGAACAGCATCCTGTTTGGAAGGCCACCACTCTGAATGAAGAAGGTAAAAACAAAACAGTCTAATGGCCATACTATTTTTCCAAATGTTGGGATTTCTGAACTCTCTAGTTGGTGTCTGAAGTGAGGGTGGTCTCATAAAATGCTTCTCAACTTTGAACAGATGATAAAAGAGAAATCACATATGCTATACTAAATATTTGAACTTGACGTCTAGTGGACCACTGCTGAGCTTTTTTTTTTCCTTTTTGAAATCGGGTTTCATTCAGTCTACCAGGCTGGAGTACAAGGGCATCATCATGGCTCACAGCAACTTCAAACTCCTAGGTTCAAGAGCTCCTCCTGCCTCAGGCTTCCAAGTAGCTGAGACTACAGGTCGCAACATGATGCCCAGCTAATTTTTCTATTTTTAGTAGAGATGAGGTCTTGCTCTGGTTCGGGCTGGTCTTGAACTTCTGAGCTCAGGGAATCCACCTGCCTCAGCCTCTGAGTGATAGGATTATAGGCATGAGCCATCACATCCCACTCTACTGCTAAAGTGCATTGTTTTTTTTTTTAATGGTGGCAACTATACTTTGGCAAAATAACCCCAACAGTGGCTTGGAGCCCGTAGCACACTGGTTACAGTGCCAGCCACATACATCGAGGCTGGCAGGTTGGAACCCAGCCTGGGCCAGCTAAACAACGACTACAACAAATAATAGCCAGGTGTTGTGGCAGGCGCCTGTAGTACCAGCTACTTGGGAGACTGAGGCAAGAGACTAACTTAAGTCCAAGAGTTTGAGGTTGCTGTGACGCCATGGCACTCTACCGAGGGTGACATACTAAGAGTCTGTCTCAAAAAATAATAATAATAAAAACCACTAGGGCGGCACCTGTGGCTCACTGGGTGGGGCACCGGCCCCATATACCAAGGGTAGCAGGCTCTAACCTGGCCCCAGCCAAACTGCGACAAAAAACATCCAGGTGTTGTGGCAGGTGCCTGTAGTTCCAGCTACTCGGGAGGCTGGAGACAAGAGAATCGCCTAAGCCCAGGAATTGGAGATTGCTGTGAGCTGTGATGTCATAGCACTCTACTGAGGGTGATAAAGTAAGACTCTGTCTCTAAAAAGAAAAAAGAAAAAAAAATAACCCCAGCAGTAATGTGGACGTAACAAATTTAACATAATAAACCACAATGCAGAGAAATCAGTTATAAATTTCTTGAGGTAATGGGAAGCTGGCCTTTTAAGTCCAATGACCTGGGTTCTACCATAGCCCATCCAAGGAAAATAAAATGTATGAACAAAGGTAGAGAAGTGTGATATTTTGACATACATTTTGGTCTTTATCATCAATCCCAGCACATACCTCCTAAAGTGCTCAATTTCTGAGTGATAAGAGTCTTATTTATCACATACCTAAAGGAATGATGTATGCGGGCAGGGGACAATAACCTGGATGCTAGCTAGCAGAAACTAACTGATTAGTGGGTTAGAACTGTCAACTCTCCCAATAAAACTAAGAGGAGGAGAGAGGGTCTGAAAGGCTGCGCCAATTGCAAATGGCCAATTAATCCATCGTGCCTACATAATGTGCCTCCAGGTAAACCCAAAAGGCAGGGTTTAGACAGCTTCTAGGTTGCTACACAGTGGACAGGAACATGCCATCACAGAGCATGGAAGTTCCCACTTCCCTGGCCCCATACTTTGTCCCATGTATCTCTTCATCTGGCTATTCATTTGGATTTGTTAAAATATTGTCAAATAAAATTTATAGAGGGCCACTGTTTTGGACTAAGTCCCTATACTAGGCCCCAGCAAACCAGACTAAAAATCTAAAAGGAGTCACTTACACTGAGGTCACCAACCTGAAAATGAGTTATCTGACCTTCCAAGAAATCAGGAGGGAGTGACAGCAGGCTAATTTCCCAAACAGGCCAGTTTCAATGCGAGTCCCTCTGTCTTTAATCTTTAAACAAGGGGCAACATGAAGTAGCCTAAAGTTCCTTCTCTGCTACTGTTTCCCTGTTCCTGCCCTACACCTTATCTTGGAAATGACCAGTCCACTTTTTGCTGTTTCTGTTTTCCTCAGCCCTTCTTTGTCCATAAAACCTGCTTGGGTGATTGGAACACTTATTCTATTTTACAGAATGAAATGTTGCCCAATTCTAGAATCCCAAATAAAGTCAATAAAGATCTTCAAACTAAACTATTATACATTTGCCTTTATCAGCACAGAAAGGTAAGTGCTTCCCTGAGTTCTGTGAGCCATTCTAGCAGGAGTCATGGGTAGGACCCCCATTTATGGCCCGTCAGTAAGAAGTACCAGAAGCTGGGACTTGCAACTAGGCCCTGAAGTGTAAGAGTTAGTCTGTTGGACTAAGCTCTCAACTTGTGGGATCTGACTCCATAGGTACACAGCGTCTGAAGTGGATTAAGTTCAATTATAGGACATCCAGCTTACATCAGAGAGTTGGTCAGTATGGGAGGAAATGGTCACAGAAGTGTTCTGTACTGAGTCAAAACAGAAGGAAAAACATTGGGTTTTTTCCCCTATATTCATGAGGACACATTCAAGAAATCATTAGAACTTAGATAATAAGTAATAAAGGAAAACGGTGAAGTAAGAAAAAGGATCATGGTTTAACTCTGAGAAGGCAAACGCAGCTGAAGCTATTCTTTCATGGGGCAAAGTATGCTTATGCCATCTTCCTTGTCTTTTTGCCTCTCACATCAATTAAAAAAGCTATAAGAAATCTAAGGCTCAAAAAAGATCTAACTATAGCTGCCAGATAATCAAATTAGAGAGACTATTAGACACAATCAACTGTTAAGATCTGGCCTTGAAGTGAGTAAATCTATCCCTGAAACTTGTTACTTCAAGTAAAATTACAGCCAACCTGCAGGAAAGACAAGACATTTCTGACCAAATAAAGGGTATAAAATTTTAATAAATTTACTAAATGTTCTGTAGAATAGTGAGAGGAGCCCACAAAACAAAAGGCATTACCTTTGTATGATCAAGTCTGAGATATTCTATATTCTACGTTCTGTGTGCCGTGAGAGAAAATAAGCATACAGTTAGGAAGAGATCTGGAGTTTGCCTGCCTGTGTCCAAATCCTGGCTTACCACTCACTGTGAGACCTTATACAGATAACTAAAGCCTTCTCTGAGCAGGTCCCCTTGCCTTTGAAAGTCATGGTATTAGTACCTAACCTCATGGGTAGCAATGAATTAAACGAACATTGGGGATTCAAAAAAATACCTGGCACAAAGTAGAAATAGTACTCACTAGTCACTAGGGTTATGGTACCCCCTCTTTAGAAGATTCTAACGTACTTCAATGAAGCATGATGAATTAAAAACTCCTTAGATACCATACGGTTCAATATATATATATTTTTTATTATTTATTTATTTTTAAAAGACAGAGTCTCACTTGGTCACCCTTGATAGAGTACCATGGCGTCTTAGCACACAGCAACCTCAAACTTTTGGGCTCAAGCGATTCCCTCATCTCAGCCTCCCAAGTAGCTGGGACTACAGGCGCCCACCACAATGACCAGCTATTTTTACGAGATGGGGTCTCGCTCTTGCTTAGGCTGGTTTTGAACATATTAGCTCAGGCAATCCCCCCGTCCTCAACCTCCCAAGTGCTGGTATTATAGGCATGAGCCTCTATGCTCGGCACTTCAAAAGTATATTTAAATATGTTTAACCCAACTTCTCCTATTCTTTTTTGGCAATTGGTTAATAAAATCTATTTACAACCATCCATAAAAACTGTTTTTGAAAAACACTGTAGAAAATTCTGGACTGTGGGTAGGCTAGACTTTAACCCATTCTACTTGTACTAAACAGACAACATGAAAACTGGAGAAATTTTATACCTGACTAGAAATTTTAGCAGAATTCCAAAACAATTCAGATGAAACAGACCTATGATAAGTGAAACTACTATAGTCTAAAGGTAAAACAGAGTTAAAACATAAAGCTATGTATTAAAGAGTTAGCAACTATGCTTATTTAACAATTTATAAATCTCTAGTTTTTCTAATATGAATATTAGATATTAGCACTGTATTTATGCTTTGATGTTAAAATGGGTATCAGTTACACACATCCACAGGAATACTGCCTTTTCAGCTTATAGTTTACAGCCTAAAAACCACACTTGACAAAAGCTTATGTGAACCACAGGAACAGCAAACAAAAAATGATAACAACTCCATTCTTAGGAACCTAAACCCTCATAATGATACATTTTAACAAACTTTCATAAGACAATTAGATATGAATGTGGAACCCATTAATGATTTATTGAAACATATATTGCTTCAAGAAATAAAATATATATAATTTAGATTTAAAATGTTACAAGACAAAAATTATAGGATCAGTATTTGCTTTAAGAAGAAGAATTATTTTACAAGCACTTTTTTATAGTATTTCTTGGTAAGCAATTATGACTTCTGTACCTATGTTCTTTGTGTTCCAATAGCTGACAGTCTCTACATGTCAGTCTATCACATGTTTCACAGAAAAGTTTCAACTGTTCTTGTTTGTGTACAGGGCAGAAAACAGGGCGCTGACCAGATGCTCCAACAGACTCTGTAGCAAAATAAAACAAATATTTTTTAACTAAACATAAAATTGTCTAATTTTCTAAATTCTTATTGATGTTGGTATCCAAAGCTTATAAAGAATAAGTAGAAAATGCTATAGAGGCAAAAGAGGGAGGTTAACTGTAATCATTAAAACTGCATCTATCTTACCTGAGACATCTTCTTTCTTCCTGATCAAGTGATCTTTAGTGAATTTTACTCTTTGATGTGCTTCAATACATGTCTTACATAGCCACTCTCCACACTCTACACAAAAGCCAACTGCACTTGCATTGTCTTCACAACTAGTACATACCTAAAAGAGGAAATACATACTAATCTACATTAAATTTATAAAATATACATCCACAATGTAGAAACTTTCTAACTTGCTCTCAAATATATTGGCTGATTCAATGTATATAGAATAAAATTGTTATGTTATCCATTTATCTTCAACAAAATCCTTTTCCTTATAGATCAATCAGTTAGGTGAAAATCTAAGACTCAGACCACAAAGTCTGTGAAGATTTGACTTTTTAAGTAGTGGCATTAGTCTCATTTAACCAAGTTTGAGAGTATAGAAGAAAACCATCTTTAATTTACAATTTTAAAAGATGAAACTATAAATCTTTCTAAGAGTAGAATGTGAACGTTTTAAAGTAATAACTGAGAAAATGACATGAAGGCTGTGTTGACCAGTTTGATGGAAGTATTTCGGATTGCATGTGAAAACCCCACACTGTACCCGTGAAGTGCATTAATGTACATAGTTACCATTCAATAAAAAAAAAAAAAAGATGAAACTATAGCAGAATCACCATTGATTATCTAATTATCTGAATGTTTTTCTTATAATTTACATTTTTATATCAAGATAGGAATATAAAAAAAAAACTGAGATGCATACCTGTTCTGATTTTTCATCAGAACTGCTAGGAGCTTCAGATGTATCTTTCACAAAATAATTATCCACAAGGTCTATCTGTCTGCATTCTTGCTGACATACTGGGCACCGTATTACACCAACTACAACACAAAAGGACAACATTAAAAAATATTCTTCAGGAATAAAATAAGGCAACTGTGCATAATGCCCATATAAAAACATTCATTCATTCGTCACTGACAAGACCAAAGAAATAAGTATCCAGAGCTGAGTAAAATAAGCCAGTGAGTTTTGTCATTGGGGAAAATATCATACCCTATTCAAGAAAAGAAAACCAGTATTATACCCACCCAAAAAAAGTGCTTCTTGTTACAATGTGGCTGAATAATGGCCCTAAAGAAATCCAGGTCCTTTGGAGACGATGAGTGATACTTTACATGGCAAAAAGGACTTTGTGGACATGATTAAATTAAGGTTTTAATGAACGGGGTGCTTCTAGATTATCCACCAGTCCCTAAATATAATCAAGTGGCCTGATAAGAGGGAGGCACAGAAAAGATAAAAAGTGTGTAATACAATGAATACTGGAAGTAGAGAATGGGGCAATATACTCTGAAGATAAAGGAAGGAGCTACAAGCCACCAATACAGGCAGGGACTAAAAGATGAAAGAGATTAAGAAAGTATATTCTCTCCCAATGCCTGCCGAAGGAATCATTCCTGCTAAGACTTTTGACCTTTAGCCCAGTAAAACTGATTTCAAACTTCTAGCTTCAAGAATAGTAAGAAAGTAAGATGCATGTATTTTTTATTTTTTCCAGACAGAGCCTCAAGCTGTTGCCCTGGGTACAGTGTCAGGGCATCACAGCTCACAGCAACCCCCAACTCCTGGGCTCAAGTAATTCTCCTGCCTCCGCCTCCCAAGTAGCTGGGACTACAGGTGCCCGGCTAATTATTTTGGTTGCAGCCATCATCGTTGTTTGGCAGGCCTGGACTGGATTCAAACCCGCCAGCTCAGGTGTATGTGGCTGGCACCTTAGCCACTCAAGCCACAGGCACAGAGCCAAGAATCTATTATCTTACAAATTTTTACTTAGTTCAGAGATTCCTAAATATATGCTAATGTAGTAAGAAAGATTATCTGTGCATAAGAAAGATTATAGTGTTCTAGAATCTATCAGAATGACTAACCTGTTGAGGTAACATATGGAAACTAAAAGTTAAGAATTAAAAAATAACACCAGAAACAACAAAACAGGCTACTATGTGTCATGGAATTTAGGATATAACATAAATGACACAATCCTTGCCTGTAAGAAGGGTTCTAAACTGGCATATAATTTTTACAGTTTATAATGTGCACAACTACAGGAAACACCAAACAAAGACTGGGACATAAACAAAGCCTCCTGGGCGGTGCCGGTGGCTCAGTGGGTAAGGCGCCAGTCCCATATACTGAGGGTGGTATGCTCAAACCCGGCCCTGGCCAAACTGCAACAAAAAAATAGCCGGGCATTGAGGTGGGCACCTGTAGTCCCAGCTACTCGGGAGGCTGAGGCAAGAGAATCACCTAAGCCCAGAAGCTGGAGGTTGCTGTAAGCTGTGTGACACCACAGCACTCTACCAAGGGCAATAAAGTGAAACTGTCTCTACCAAAAAATAAATAAACAAACAAAGCCTCCCCCCTCTTAGGGCAGTGCTGGTGGCTCAAGGAGTAGGGCACCGGCCCCATACCACAGGGGGTGGCAGGTTCAAGCCCAGCCCTGGGCAAAAACTGCAAAAAAAAAAAAAATTATTGGGCAGCACCTGTGGCCCAGTGAGTCGGGTGCTGGCCCCATATACTAAGGGTGGAGGGTTCAAACCCGGCCCCGGTCAAACTACAACAAAAAGATACCTGGACGTTGTAGCAGGCCCTTGTGGTCCCAGCTACTCAGGAGGCAGAGGCAAGAGAATCGCCTAAGCCCAAGAGCTGGAGGTTGCTGTGAGCTGTGATGCCACAGCACTGTACCGAGGGCAACAGAGTGAGACTCTATCTCTAAAACAACAACAACAACAACAAAAAGTCCGCAAGAGCTGTGTACTACACAAACTGTAGTGCCATATATAGTCATTCTGATGGAAAATGAAAACACGAGATAAACATGTCATTGTAAAAGTAGATAGATCACAGTCTCCCAAGGGGCACATAAACACTGTTAAAACAAACTCAAATACAGAACATATTTTTTAAGAGATGGGGTCTTGCTGTTGCCCTGGCTGAAGTACAGTAGCATGATCATAGCTCACTGTACCCTCAAACCCTTGAATTTTTTTTTTGAGATAAGAGTCTCATTTTGTCGCCCCAGTAGAGTGCACTGACGTCATAGCTCACAGCAACCTGAGTCCTGGGCTCAAGTGATTCTCTTGTCTCAGCCTCCTGAGTAGCTGGGACTACAGGTGCCCACCACAATGCCCGGCTATTTTTAAGATGGGGTCTCGCTCTTGCTCAGGGGGGTCTCAAACCCATGAGCTCAGGCAATCCACCCGCCTTGGCCTCACAGAGTGCTAGGATTACAGGCATGAACCACCTTGCCCAGCCAAACTCTTGAACTTAAGCAATCCTCCTGCCTCAGCCTCCGGAGCATCTGAAACTATAGGCAAACACTACCACTGCTGGCTAATTTCTTACTGTTTTGTAGAGAAAGGGTCTCACTATGTTGCCTAAGCTGGTCTTGAACTCCTACAATCCTCCCACCTCACTCCCCCACAAAGTGTTAGGATTACAGGTATAAACCACCATATCTAGACCTCAAATATGTAATTGAATTATATATTTTGAATTTATATATATTTGAATTTATATAGATTTATATATTTGAATTATATATTTCAAAACAAGGTATTATTTTGTGTAGTATATTTCATGAATTTTACTAAAAGAACTACATGAAAATAAACACAAAGATCTTTCTCAGAGGAAATATGCAAAAACCAGATTTTCAAACAAAAGAAAGAAACAGTACAAAGAAAAGGGATAAACGCAGGCATAGTACTGTCAGCCTAGAATCCCAGCTACACAGGAGGTGAAGGCTAGAGAATCATTTGGGCGAGGAATTCACAGCCCAGCCTGGGCAACACGGGAAGGTTCCATCTCTTTGGGGAAAAAAAAAAAAAAAGATGACATCAAGGAACAAGAAGAATTCTTTTATTACTACCACATAGAGGATGGGGGTGAATAGAGGCAAAAAACAAATATTTTCACATCTAAAGAGTTATGAATTTAAATGTTTACAAGAAACAAAGGTATTACATAAAGTATTAAGTAACTGTAAGGACAAAGATATGAGGACAACAAACATCTCAGAGTGAGTTGTGTAAATTTTCACTAAAGAGATGACACTTTAGTAGGGTCTTGAAGAACAAACATGCATTTAGTAGTACGCAAGAAAGCGTTTCTTTTGCAGACCTGGGTTGCTCAAACTCTGCACATTCCTAAGAAAGCCTGGTTTTCAGAACGGGCCCTAGACAGACTCCTGGGAGATGACCTCTGAACCCATGGAATATTCTGCCTGATAAAAGTAGTTTTGTATGCCTAAGGCTGTGGGTCACACTGTATTTAGTCTGGCTGAAATAATCAATCCAAGAGGCTGATACCAGTCCTCTGAGGGCTGCATGCAAACGAGACTGATCTCCCAATAAAAACCCTCATCACCGCGTGGCACCTGTGGCTCAAAGGAGTAGGGCGTCAGTCCCATATGCCAGAAGTGGCAAGTTCAAACCCAGCCCCGGCCAAAAACAAAAAACAAAACAAAAACCCTCATCACCAAGGCTTAGGTGAGAGTCCTTGCTTGCCAATACTCCTGGGGTATTGGCTTCACACTGTTGCTGAGATAATTAAGCACATCCCTGTTTAACTACACTAGAAGGAGACAGCTGGAAACTTGCACCTGCTTTCTCTTGAACTGCTTTTACACAATCACCGGAATTTTGGATAAATACATCTTTATATAATTCTTTGACTAGATGTAAAATTCCAGTTTGTAATTTGTAACTTGATAATTACATCCACAGTTTTGTTATCAATAAATAGTTGAAAAGCATCCAGGCTC